AGATGAAATAGACTGAGCAATATTCATATGCACAGACCGAGATAGATAGATAGATAGATAGATTGATAGATAGTCATACATTCATACATGCTTATATACATACATAGATTTACACTGATACTGTATCAATAAATGGATTGTCTGATAAACCCGAAATTCTAAAATATTCTGCCGAATAACAGGAGCCTCTTCTGATGTTAATCTATTTTGAGTCACAGTTCTAATCTGTGGTGATTCTCGTTTTCAGAAGAAACGGGTCCTTTAATTTGTTTGTTTTTTCTTAGTTCAACAGAGTACGTGTTTACTCAAATGTGGATTGCACAAAAGGCCAAGTTGTTTGTCAATGAAAATAGGAAAAACTTACAGAGATTGGGAAAAAAAGCAGGTCCATTGTAAACTGTAAGAAGGAATGATCTGAGATATGAAATTCTGGAATTTATAAAAACGAAAAACGAACATTAGGAATGGAAATATTTATACTCCACAAATAATAGCTATCACAAGAATCGATCTGGATTTTCTTATTCATAAACAACACGAATATAAATCTCCTCGGATAGTTCAAAATAATATATATATATATATATATATATATATATATATATATATATATATATATATATATATATATATATATGTATTATTGAAGGCCACAGAAGCAGGGGAAATGCCGTGGAACATACTTGGCAAGTTTGAGTAAACAAATTGCGACGCAAGTACAACAAACACAAAGGCGCTTCGTAACAACACAAGAATCTACCCAGAGAAGAAACAGGAATCTACAGGGACCTATGATATCCGACAACCTCAATCGATTTTGCTTTAGTAGTTTTAATAAATCTCATTTTAAGTTTAGATTAATATTTACAGTTGTAACTATGATAGATTCGGTTTTATAATTTCATCTGCCATGTTATATTAAAATTATTTGTAATTTTCATGTTTTTTTTTTATTTTTGTAAATTTTATAAGCTTTCGGTTTTGCATTAAATATGAGATAATTAGGATATTGGATCAACTTAAAACTATCAAATACTTAATTAATAATAATATAAATATAAATATAAAAGAAACCGCAAGTAATAATATTTCTAATCGGTTTAACCCAAAGCAAGGCAGTAAAGTAACTTTACAAAGGGATACTGACTGTGGAAGCATTATGAACAGAATAAATTGATAATGAGCGGTAAGAGAAATGAAGACAGATAGCGATAGACATTACATTTAAATTTTTGCAGATTAAAGTTTGCTGGAAATCTTGGAGCCGGAAGCGAGTTCCATAAGCAAAAAGAAAACAGAAAAGAAACAGTTATCATAGAATTTACGATTTCATCTAGCCAGCTCAACAGTTAATTTATGAGACCTCGACGCCAATCAAGTACTATGATTAAATTCAAAAAGTCTAGGTACCATAGCGAAGAGCTCATCCGAACAATTACCATGAACATATTTATAGAATTAGCAATATTCTAAGCATGGATGAATGATAAACTTATAGATATATGTGCTAGATTCAGGAGAGAAACATTGTCTCACACGACACAGTGAACCAATTTCTTAGCTGACCTAATAATTGATTCACTATAGACTTTGCACTTCATATCAGCTGAGAACGGGCAACGGGTCATTTTCTAGAGGTCAGCATAAGCCATGCTGTTGGAAGGCAGGGTGTGGTCTCTCAGATGAATAATGCCGTGTGGTTTAGTAGTTCATCGATATAAATCTGGCCGTAACAACTGATAATTTTATTTATTACCCCTTTCGAAAATAGCTCAACGCATTTCCTTACATAAAGGGTTTGTCAGTGGTTCCGACCTGAGAATGCCTGTCATAAGATGGTGAAACACTTTTCCCAACCAGACTTCTATCTATTTATAAAACAATATAAGCTGCAAATTGTTATCAAGATAGATTTCCTTTGCTATCTTTTCATGTAGTTTCATTTAATAGGCCGATGGGGTTTGGGGCAGTTCACTTCCCAAAGTATAATTGAAATAACGGTGTTCCATACCACTTCGCACTGGGGTATCTTAGACGACGGTCTTGATGTACTTGTTTCTTTCTTATTTCTGTCATCTTCCGCCCGGGTGATCACTATCTAGTTTGGTCAGTTGTAAAAGGAGACATTAAAAAGGGAATTTTGAACTTATCTATTTTATTAAAAAAACGACTTGTACATTATTAACCAGCCAGCGTGGTCGATTTGGTATCAGTCATATATATATATATATATATATATATATATATATATATATATATATATATATATACATACACACACACACACATATATATATATATATATATATATATATATATATATATATATATATATTCCAACAAAAATTTCGCTTGAAGATGGAACGGAGCCCATTTTAATTTAAACTCTATTTAATTTAAAGGATTATATTGAAGTTTTCGGCTTTTGTTTTGAAACATGAGGCCTCTTATGTAGCGATTTGGAATCATATTTCTGAATAAATAATTATATATATATATATATACACACACACACACACACACACACATATATATATATATATATATATATATATATATATATATATATATATATATATACATACATACATATACATATACATACATATACATACATACAAGTTCCTCAGGACACAGAAATATCCACGTCTAAAGTGTATGACGTGTATAACTTAACTCCTTGAAAACACTTTCTAAATCTAACATTCTCACGTTCGGCTGAGCCAATCAAAATCGAGATCCCTATTTTGTCTACCAGCTGACACCTAGGCCAAATACACCGTCACTTAAAAAGAACAGTCTGAAACTATTATTTAATAACGGATATGAACTTCATATATCTCATCTAGACCAGCCTCTCGTACTATTGACAACTGCGGTTAAATATCTAAATACATTAACTTCTACACTATTTTATGCATTATATGTGTGTTCGTCCTCCGCGTTCAGAGATAACCTTGACTATAATCAATGGGGTTTCGTGGGGTGCGTAGATGACTAATGAAAAGTCTGTTGCAGTTGTGACATGGGATGCCGGGGACTGAACCAGGGAACCCTCTCGATCTTTCCTTTTCTAGAATCTATGTTCTTTTTCCCTTCATTTTTTCTCTTCAAAATCAGACACTCCGGACTTTACAAAGGAGCACCAAGTGGCACTGTCCTCAGCAAACACTTCCCAAGCGATAGTCATCAGTGTGGCGGACGTGGTCAGCCCACCACAGGTAATATCACAGTAGGATTACACGGATGATCTCCTTCCTAGACTGTCGTTGGTTTAATATACCATATTTACTGGAATCCTTCGAGGTTGTTTATAAAACAATTTGACTCTCCCTTGAACAGTAAGTTGAAATGATGGTCTCTTTAGCTGTTGTGACCTCCTGATCCAGTTTTCCTCTCTACTTTTCTCTCTTTTTAAAACTTATTAACCCTTCTCTAGAAAATTTTTCAATGTACAGTTTTTTTTTTTTTTTAGATACTCAACATTTTGTTGGATGAACAATTATCCCATGTTACACGATTTGGACAATTTTGCTGTTACTCCCGGTATAGAGGGCGTATCAAAAATACATTTACAAACTTTAGGTCGACTTCCTCCACCAAAACAAGGCAAAAGTTATTCAGTTTTAAGAAATTTTACAGAAGATGGGGCAGTGTTGCCGTTTAGACTAGGTTAGATTTGTCATTCGTATACATTTGTGGCTAGACTGTTTTCAACGTGTAACGTGTGTAGTAGTGAGTTAACTGAGAAGTGTTTCGTTTAATAATGGCGAGATATAAATATCAGGAGCAGGCAGACATGATTTCTACATACGTCCGCGCGAATGGTAATGGGCGCGAGACTTCTAGATGGCAGCCGAGTCATCCAATCTTTGCTGCTGTTCAGTTTATCGTCGCTTTGCTGAGATAGGATGGATCGAGGAAGACCTGAACAAGAAGAACATATTCTACGGGCTGTCGGAGACGATCCTGGTATCAGGACATGTCAAGTGGCCCTAGCATGTCATACCGCAGAGTACCGCATGGAGATTAATTCAAGAATATTTTCCGTTATCTATAAAAATAATGTATCAACAGAAAATATATTAAATAATTGTCGGACTTAATCCATTTCATACGATGACATTCTTTACCTTAAGACATGTTTCACAAGCAGAAATTATCGATTGAAAAAAATCGCCGAAGGGGTGTATTCATAAACAGTAATTCGGACTTCGCTAACCAAGACACTTCTCTGTAGCTGAATGGTAACGGCGCGTCAGGCTCTATGACGATTCCCATAAGGCTTACATGTTCGAATCCTATCAGAACGGCGGATAATTTCTTCGAAATTTCTCCAACATACAGGCCGATAAATGCAATCGATACCGTTTAATTAAAAACATAGCATTTACTTAAATTGTATCTATAAAAAATACGTATAAACATAATATATATATATATATATATATATATATATATATATATATATATATATATATATATATATATATATGATAATATAAATATATGATGCTGAAAGACCCGAAACCCCTAATAAACTTCGGCTAGAAATATTACTGATGATGTGTACCAAAGCATCTAATAGATGTATTCTACGAAACTCTCTCTCTTTCTTTCTCTCTCTCTTTCTCTCTCTCTCTCTCTATATATATATATATATATATATATACACACACACACATACACATAAATATATATATGTATGTGTGTATATTTATATACATATATATATATATATATATATATATATATACATAATATATATATATGTATATATTATATAATATATATATAAATATATTAAATATATATATATATACACATAACTATATGCATGTATATATATATGTGTGTGTGTGTGTGTGTGAGTTCATGCGATCACCTGTCATTATTTTGTGTGGAACATAACATTGAAATAATTCTATTTCACATATCACGCTGACATGAAATGTGCGAAGCTGAAGCAGAATTTCCCAGAAAACCTGTATTGGTTTACAATGATATATTTCATCAACCTCTCGTTTCTATTTCCAACTCTCTCTTTCTCTCTCTCTCTCTCTCTCTCTCTCTATCTATCTATCTATCTATTTATCTCTCTCTCTCTCTCTATCTATCTATCTATCTATTTATTTATCTCTCTCTCTCTCTCTATCTATCTATCTATCTATTTATCTCTCTCTCTCTTTCACTCTCTCTCTCTTTCACTCTCTCTCTCTATCTATCTATTTATCTCTCTCTCTTTCTCTCTCTCTCTATCTCTATCTATCTATGTATCCATCTATCTATTTATCTCTCTCTATATATCTATCTATCTATTTATCTCTCTCTCTCTATCTATCTATTTATCTCTATCTATCTCTATCTATCTATCTATCTCTCTCTCTCTATCTATCTATCTATTTATCTCTCTCTCTCTCTCTTTCACTCTCTCTCTTTCACTCTCTCTTTCACTCTCTCTCTCTATTTATCTCTGGGTTCCTCTTCCCTCCTCAAACATGAAAATGCAAGTACAGGTGGCTACAAGATGATGACGCTCACACATTCATACAACACTACATAACACATTTTATGCACTCGACATCATCGAAATATCGTAGGAAACAAACGTTTCTTTATATCCACCCTATCTAAATAATCATACATGGTCCCCTTCCAATTCGTTCTTTTTCTTTCTTTTTTTCTTACTATTTCCTATTCTTTCTCCCACTTTCAATACGTTTTTTTCTTTCTATTATTTCTCTTCTTTCTTTCTTTCTTACTTTAATTCTTTCTTTCTTTCTATTCCTTCTCTTCTTTCTTTCTTTCTTTCTTTGTTTCTTTCTTTCTTACATACAGTTCTTGTTTCTTTTACCATTTTTATTTATTTGTTTTATTTTACTCTAAGTCTTTTCCATTGATGCTTTCATCGTCTCAAGCTTTCTGTAACTTCTTTACTTTATTTATTTTTCTTGTTTCTTTGACCATTATTTCCAGACCTCCTGTCTTTTCTTCCTCTCATATACTTTCTCTTATTCTCTTCCTCTTTTTCTTTATGCAGTTCTTCATTATTTATTTTGATCTCTTCTTTTTAAGTATTACTTTTTCCTCCTTTCTTTTGTGAGTTTCTTTCTTTCTTGTATTGTTCGCCCTTTTTCTTTCCATTATTTATTTCTTTTCCTTCATGATTTATTTTGATCTCTTCTTTTTCAGTATTACTCTTTCCTCCTTTCTTTTGTTAGTTTTGTCTTTCTTTTTCTTTATTTTTCTTTCTTTTTCTTTCTTTTTTCTTTCTTTCTTATATTGTTCTCCCTTTTTCTTTCCGTAATTTAGTTCTTTCCTTCGTTGTTTCTTCTCATTTCTGCTTCTTTTTTCGATTTTTTTTCTCATTTCTGTTTTTTTTTCTTTTACACTGTTATTTCTTATCTCCGTTTCCTTCCTTTCTGCCTTCCTTCCATCTCTCTTTCTTTTATGTTATATAATTTCTCTCCCTCCCACTTTCTCTTCGTCTAAACACTCCTCCTTCTTTCTTTTATTTATCTACGAATTTCCTTTACTCTTTTGTTTTTCGTTAACATGGCTTTTCCTTACAGGAGCCTGTCATACAAAATCTGCTAAATCAATATTCGTTTTACTCGACAAGGTCAACCGCCATGATTTTCTGATTTGATTGAATGAATGTATATCGCAAAAATCGATACGTTTCGACTGAAGATGATTATATGCTTGTCTATTCGCTTCTGGAAGATAAAACAAGCAAATCAACACACACACACACACGCGTGTAGGTGTGTGTACTCTGTGTGTGTACTCTGTGTGTGTATGTGTGTACGCGCGAGTGCACACGCCGGATGTTCCGAAAATAATACCTTCGAAAACCATGTCAAAGGCCACTGCTGATTGCATTGAGATAGAAGTGGAATATTCCAGAGATTAACCCATATAATATTATTTTTACCATGTTACAGAGAGCAGGTGAGCATGTTATCTGGCAAAATAACGTGTGATATGAAAGTGCGCAGGAGGCAAAGATTTATTATAGAATTCATCCATGCATAGAAAAAGCAGATTGAACACACTGATATTCTGCAAGGCCAGCTAAATGCTGGCGGAACCGGAACACTGCATTAGGGTTAACGCTAAGCAATTGGTAAATCGTTTTAGAAGTTCTATGCACGCGATGCAAGCGGTAGACCATGTGCACACCGTTTTAAAGATGTGCAAGGCGAAAACCTTTTTTTTTGTTCCCCGGAAAATGTAATCACTGGCGGGAAAACATTAATCTATGAAACTGTGTTTATTTTCATTATGTTCCCCCGTAAATCTGTTAGTGTCCAGAAACTAAACAGAAAACGTACTTCAGCACAAGATATATATATATATATATATATATATATATAAATTTAATGAAAAACAGACCACATTAATGTACCATTACAATAATTTATTTCACCAAAATCCTTTTTAAAGGATTCTGGATCATCAGGTAACACTTCCAACAATGAAACGAGAGGAAAAATGTGATTAGAAATTGATGGGTAGTGTAATTTTTGTAATTAAACAGGGAGGGTGAAAGTGGCGGTTAAAGAGACAATACAGAGTATAGGGAGGTTAAATTTATATCTCTCTTAAATAAGCTTTATATTGGGGTATTAACCCTATGGTGAAATAAATTATTGTAATGGTACCTTAACGTGGTCTGTTTTTCATTAAATATTAGCTCTGTTCTTCACATTGAGCTCTCAGGATTTCATCCTCCTTGGATTTACCAATTTGGTTTACCAAGTTCTTCATAACTTAAATATATATATATATATATATATATATATATATATATATATATATATATATATAAAAAAAATATACTGAAAAAACAAACAAAAATCCTAATATGCGATTATGCTGTTTTAATGTTTAATGTCAACGTCGGACGTTTCGGTCTAATAGACCATCTTCAGGACATTTTCATAAATGTTTCATAATTAACGTGATAGACCATATATCAATACCAAATGAAAAATGACGACGGATCATAAGACCCTGGTTCGAATATCCCCAATCCAAACAGATAATCTATCTGGAAATCCCATTTTGCGGCATCTTTGAAAGTGCCTGAAAAACATACCGTTCCGTTTAAACACTTGTGAGTCGTCGATAGCTGTGCTAGTACGAAGTCGTCATCGTGATTGGCGATGTCGACAAACGTTATCACGCTAGATAACACGTTTTAGATCACAATAAAATTGTGTGGGAGTTAGATAAACCGTAGAACAGACATTTTGTTTTTTTTAATGATCAATAATTTTTTTCAAAACAATGAAGAAATTTCGGTAATTATCCGAAGTTCATTTCGAAACATAGTGCGAGCTTTCGATTTTCTTAATTCATCTTCAAGGTAGTAGAACAGTTGATAAGTTTCATAGAACTACTGTATGTTGTGACGTAGTCAAACTGTGTTTTGATGTATGCGAGGTGTGACGTATGCGTTTCTGTATATATTTAGAAGATGTGACACATAAGTTATAATAGTCTGAGAAGGATTATTCATAAATCGGTAAAGTCAGTCAATTAAATTAATCAATGCAAAATACTTTAATATTTGCCTTAAAGACCCAAAGAATATATATATATATATATATATATATATATATATATATATATGACAAATGGAAAAAAAAGTTTCATTGAAAATTGATTTGATTACCCATTCTAAACTTGATTTCCACGACCAAAAGAAATAATTTGTTCGTATACTTAAATAATTAATCATAGTACTTTTTTTTTCTCTAAGCTGGTGTTTTATGTGATTAAAGAAGAAAGAATTAGTTACTTTTAAAATAACTGTGGATATTTATTCCGTATCATTTCTTTATAATTTTAGTTCATGTCGAAAGTTCTTAGTACATTAAACTTCTTTGTGCCGAATTAAAGATAAATCCTCATTTCATTTTTCAGTTGACCCAAGCCTTTGGATTCTGAAATGAATCCAAGACAAAACATATCCAATCATTCAGAATGGATTGAAAGAAAAATATTTATATATTTTTAGGTCTATCCATGTGTTTCTGTGTCAACATTAAGTGTTTAAAATAGAATAAAGGATATAGAATCCCGACAAAGATTTTAAGAAATTTGACAAATAGAAAACGTACACATATTTCTTTATTTCGTTTTGGGATCTGATGAAGGCGAAAGGGGTAACTAAATCTATTTTCAATGAAACGTCTTCTATTTCTTGATATACTAAGCCGATGAAATAAGCTTGATTGTCGGACACGCCTCTCTTCATTACTGATGATGACTAAAAAATTAATTGAAACTTTGATGGGGGATTTTTTCCACATATATTATATAAGTGATGTGATTTAGTAGTTTGGGGCTAGTTGTTACAAACGACTAATATTGTATAATGATTTTAGAAGGCCTTTTGTGGGTATTAATTAAGTTAAACCAATTTGATATTCCTTACTAATAGAATATATACTCGAAAAACACAGTAAATAAAATAAGTAAAAACCAATACAATAAGAATAACAACAACAGTTATCCGCATGATCGTCGCAAATCAATCCACTAGTGAGGACTACTATTGAAAGGTCGGTAGTTCTCGAGTAAGTCTGAGTCGTACTCAACAGTTCCCAGCTATAAATATTTACCAATCCCCACGAATGAGACATTTAATATGGGGCTATCCGAGACAGTAGGCTCAGCTAAAAATTCCCAGTAAACCCCGTATAAATGAGGTCGGCTTCTACGACTTTCTTAATTCGATATAGCCTGGTCATTCCTTCTGTCCGAAGGCAGAGAGTTCGACAAGAGCTAAAAGCTGAGTAACAGTCCCCAGCTAGTGTATTTAAGATGTGGTTCGAATTTAGATCCGACCTGTAGTCTCAGCCAAAACTTGTATAACCCGTACGGGATAGTTTCAAACTGTGTAGCCTTCTGATCCTACTGGAGGCAGAGAGTTCGACGTGAAAAAATTTCAGCGACTATCTAATAACTGCCCCATATTTAGAAGATGTTTCCTGAAAAAAATCCCCGTAGACCCCGCATAAACGTTATAAACGAGACTAGTCTTCCTCTCTGAGGCAGGATTACAGTACAGCTGAAAAGATTTCAGCAAGACTAAATTAGCTCCCCACGCAGTCAATCTGGCACAAGGCTAAATTTAATGTGAGGTCATCGAACCTCAGGCTCGTTTTTAAAATACCCGTTAAACGGGATCAATCCGAATTTGCCATTCGAATAGCCTCGTCCAAGTTCCTTCCGAAGGCAGAAATTCGACCAAAGAATATATATATATAGCTATATATATATATATTATATATATCTCTCCCATTATTTACAAATGGAAAACAATCTAGCGGCCATAGTCAAAATATTTTATTAAAGAAGCAGTTGCTACCACCCCGGCTCAGTGTGGACCTGGTAACAACAGCAATAAAGAGATGATTCCATGTCTCTCAAAACTTTCAATATTCCTCTAATTGCTACCGGATGTAGTTTATCGTCATACCCATGAGTATTCTATGAATGTAGTAAATTTTAAACATTTGTTATATATATATATATATATATATATATATATATATATAGAGAGAGAGAGAGAGAGAGAGAGAGAGAAAGGCGTGTATGCGCGCACGAGCGATTCAGGGAGGTAATCTCGATAAAAATGGGCGATAAAATAGTGTACGTCACAGAAAATGACTGAAAACCATTCAACTTATGACCCAATGCTTCTGACCGAAATTATTCGATGGCTGTGTCGACCCCAACTAACTCTTGTGCTTAGAAACATTTTAAAAAAATAAAGCGCAAAATTAAATATACATACATAAATAAATAGATACTCATATAT